ACTTAGCTGGGATTTTCATCTAAATCTAGCCTTGCTTCATTTAGGACTGTAGCATTACAATAATGCCTGGGCAAAAAAATTGTGAAAAAATATGGTTCAGCGGCGGTGAGACAGAATGGATGTAGAAAGTTCATCTTTAAAGTTGTATCTAATGCAAATTCATGAATTTGCACATATATAATGAACATATATACATCGAATCTTGTTTTGCGTAAATCTGCCATTCTCCCAAAATGTCCAGTAACACGTGTACTTCATCCTCGATTATCCAAGGAATAATATCTACATTCTTTAAACATATCCTGGACCTTTTTCACGCGGAAGTGACGTTTCGGATGTGACGTCACAATCTCATTCTCACTTATCACTAACCTAGCACATAATTCCTCTCGCTCACGAGTGTGACTGGACGGCTATTTTTACGTCACGTTGAATCGGGCTGAAAACGAAGCTATGCATAGTAACGAATACACCCTGGGTATTTATAATAATAGAATGGAGGTATATATCACACTGGATAACCGAGGATGTGCGTACTTTGAAACTTATCCGCATACATATTGATCAGCCTTATACAACACTGTTTGTCTCCGGCGTCCATTAATAACTTTATCGATGCACTGCAATCCTTCATGGACAATCGATATATACAAGTCAAAATTTCAATAGCTGGTATGGACAGTAAGAATCGATAGTTTCGATAGACGTCATGATACTGACAACAACAACAACAACAACAACAACAGACCGCCGTCCTAGCTGGAATATTGCTGAGTGCGGCGTAAAACAACAAATAAATATGTAAAGTAACGAGAGAATCAGATCACTGGACCACTCTTTATCACTCCAGGTTCTCACTGCAATAAGTGGGGATAAACCAGTGATTGATATTACGAGCAACGTACCACGCCGTCGTCGGATGTGATGCAAACAACCACGTCACCGAGCCTGACCACCCGACCTGTTAGGTCTTTCCGAGACCGACCACTTGACTATAAAAGAATAATTTGTTTTCCGTTTTAATAATATAATAAAAAAAATATTAAATAAATACATTGTTCGCTGGACGTACTGGATACCCTGAAATAAATGTGTTCCGACTCCTAATTTCACAAAATAAAATATGCCTGCAATGACCGACGGAAAACACATCCTGTCTCCCCCAACATCTCCACCAATATTAAATGGTGGGTTACACGACATGGTGGGTTGCCGGGGACATATTCCAACCAGTAACTCCAACAGAGTGCTTGTGCCTGCTAGAGACATACAAGAGACTGTACCGAAACGTCGAAATGAAAGAACGAGGATGTTAAGGTCTTCATTGTTACTACATCTTTTAAATGCCACTTAAATATAAATATAAGTTAGTATTGTTTTACGCCGTAATGTTCCAACTTATATCCTACCATATCACGTTGGTAGCACTATGAATGCTCTTCACACATTTTACCCATGTGGGAAGTCGTACCCGGGTCTTCAGTGTTACGAGCCATAGCATACCCTATGGCCACGGGGGAATCGATTCGTTGTGGCCAAAGTGGTATATGTTCAGCATGGATCAAACATGGCTTGTATTTTACCATGAATCCTGTTTCGTTTGCTGGGGATAACAGCTTGTTTCGTACTCAGTTAACCATTTCCTAAAATAGTCGTTTTATATGTGCGGTTTGAAGTGTTTCCACCGTACTTGACATACGACAATCAACATGCATGTCTCGGTGTGGATTGTTCGGGACTAACAGCAGACAATTGAGAGAACTAATATAACGGCTGTTTGACAAACACTTGTGTCGGGAACAAGGACAGTCCCCATTAAAATCCTAAAATCCAAATCATGTCAAAGAAAGAAATGAACATTCTTTTGGAATTGTGGTTTGTGCAGATTAATCTCAATGCAATAATGAAATCCATAGCATGAACCAGAAATACTCGTAGATAAAGATGTTTGTCTATGGTTGGACCTAAAATGGGAAAGTAAGATGGGAATAGAGGCGAGGGAAAGTAAGATCGGGAGGAATAGAGGCGAGGGAAAGAAAGACAGGAGGGAATAGAGGCGAGGGAAAGTAGGACCGAGGGAATAGAGGCGAGGGAAAGTAAGACCGGAGGGAAAAGAGGCGAGGGAAAGTAGGACCGAGGGAATAGAGGCGAGGGAAAGTAAGACCGGAGGGAAAAGAGGCGAGGGAAAGTAGGACCGAGGGAATAGAGGCGAGGGAAAGTAAGACCGGAGGGAATAGAGGCGAGGGAAAGTAAGACCGGAGGGAAAAGAGGCGAGGGAAAGTAAGGCCGGAGGGAAAAGAGGCGAGGGAAAGTAAGACCGGAGGGAAAAGAGGCGAGGGAAAGTAAGATCGGAGGGAAAAGAGGCGAGGGAAAGTAAGGCCGGAGGGAATAGAGGCGAGGGAAAGTAAGGCCGGAGGGAATAGAGGCGAGGGAAAGTAAGATCGGAGGGAAAAGAGGCGAGGGAAAGTAAGGCCGGAGGGAATAGAGGCGAGGGAAAGTAAGGCCGGAGGGAATAGAGGCGAGGGAAAGTAAGGCCGGAGGGAATAGAGGCGAGGGAAAGTAAGGCCGGAGGGAATAGAGGCGAGGGAAAGTAAGGCCCAACGTCTTGTTCACGACGCTTTCCTCACGGCGGTGGCTTGGTGGTTAAAGCTATCGCTCGTCACGCTTAACGCCTGGGTTCGATTTCCCACGTTTGTAATGTGTGAAGTCCATTTCTGGTGTCTCTGCAGTGATATTGCAGGAATATTGCTAAAAGCGGCGTAAAACCAGCCACACACACTCTCTTTGCAGAAGTGCGTCCCTTGGACATGTCAGAAACCTATGATTGTGGATTAGATTCAGAGTTCGCCCCGATTATGTTTCTAGGCTTGTCGCCACCATACCCGTGTTCTGAGTAAAAAAGGGGTAAACGTCTGAGACCTGCATCACTTCGGGCTTTCCTCACACAATAAAGCTGACATGCCGTGATATAACTGGAATACTGTTCAAAGCGGCGTTAAACCCAACTCACTCGATATTTTTGTTGTGCGCTCCTCTTCCTGGGGAGCAAGGTATCCGCCAAATGCCATGCGGTTGACTGGTGCGAATACCGTGATTGGGAAGCAGTAAGTATGCGGTTAGTATCTAGGTGTTACAAGTTACTGAAAAAACTGTCCACAATCAGGCATAGTTGTTGCCGGCAACAGGACCATTGTACGAATATCAGATCTCTCGGAAAAACAATATATGACGTCAAAGGGCGCTTCTGACATGAATATGCATCTCAATGCAGATCCGTCGATAGAAATTAAGTGGATGTTGCAGCTGACTCGATACTGTGTAATGGTATACCACTGAATAGGTGTATCCAACCACAGAACTGGTGTACCCAACCAATAAACGGGTGTACTCAACAGGTTCATGCAGACATTCACTCGAAAACTCACGACAGATGGATCTCCGAAGGTTGGATTGGTTGGTCCATTTGTCCAATAGGTTTGGTTTGGTTTGGTTTGTTTAACGCCGCACTCAATATTCCAGCTATATGACGGCGAAATGGGCTTCACACATTGTACCCATGTCGGGAATCGAACCCGTGTCTTCGGCGTGACGATCAAACGCTTTAATCACTAGGCTACCCGACGGCGGTCTGTAAATAATCGAGTCTGGACCAGACAATCCAGTGATTGACATCATGAGCATCGATCCACGCAATTGGGATACGATGACATACCTCAACCAAGTCAGCAAGCCTGACCACCCGATCCCGTTAGTCGCATCTTACGACAAGCTTAGTCGCCAATTAAGGCAAGCGTGGGTTGCTAAAGACCCATTCTACCCCGGATCTTCACGTGTCATTTGTCCAAGAGGGATACCAGTGGCGTATCACATACTCAGTTTAATATAATTGACAGATTTAACAGAAAACAATAATTTTCCCTTTTCCTCCCAAGAGACGCCTGGTAAGTGCAGTTGCGATTAACTATGTATTTTTTAACAATCACATATTTGTTCTGTGGGATATCGTAATGATTAAAAGTGTTCGTTCGTCGCGTCTGTACAAATACGAACAATATGCGGCGCCTTTAATAGTTAATACAGAGTAAGACCAATCTCAAATTACCTTAAAATTGCGCTACGCGGCTAATAATGGCATATTTTACGTCCGTTTTAAAGGATAACTCACATCTGTACTACGTCACCTTGGTTAAGGTCAAGCGAGTTTATTCCCTTTGATGAGTTATCCAACACCAACCAAAATATATGCGGTGTTTTATTGTCAACAGCTTATGAATGAACTGTCAAATGTTGACCCGACTTTTCCTGGAACAATATATAGCACCTACCCCGACCCCGCAAAAATAAAAAAAATAAAAAATAAACAAAATAACAGAAAATAAAAATATAAAAAGAAATCACCAAGTAAGCCCTATCAGTGAGATGTGAAAATCCGAGACTCTCTATAAATACTCACCTGACAGATGGATTCATAATACTGTTTTAGCGAGTAAGTTATATTATTGTAAAGGCCATGCATGTCGCTATATAAGTGCAATAATCTTGGACGCAACGTTAAACCCCATTTCACCTCACCTCATCTTATCTGACATACACAAGCATATCTTTATCACTTCCTTAAACATGCATCACAACAAATGGAACTGGCTGATCTTATAGGACAAGAGCGCTACATAGTTTTATCAGTAATTCAGTTCAAATAGTAACGATTACCAATGCAACTTCTAAGAAAAATTCTGAAACAAACAATAATAGTGATCGTGTGAGTGAGTTGGGTCTTAAGCCACTTTTAACAGTATTACAGTTATGTCACAGCGTGTCAGCTTAATGTGGCAGGAAAGCCGGTAGTCAAACAGATCTAGAGTGAATGAGTACAAGCATGGACACTTTATACAATATATATATATATATATATATATATAAAAATTTTTAGGGTCCATGGTATAAGACACAGTAAAAACAGGTATTTGTTATATAAAATAATAATGATTGAACAATTACTATTTTTAAATAGTTTGTATAATTTTTTTTAATTCAAAGAAAACATTTTTTGACTCATGTAATAATTCACAACGAAGGGAGACATAATATTGTATAACTTGTGAAGAAATGATTCTATATGAATAACAATAAGCTATATATCTCTTGGATATGAAGAAACTTCATGTCACCATCAGTTGCCCTAAAGTTTCTTGTCTGCACAATTCCCAGCAATCGTGAGTATGACATAATTGTATGTTTATTGACAAAATGCAGAGGTGATAAAACTATGGATGCATCACAACTGTCCACTGCCCCAAAGCAACACATTCAGAAAACTGTTAACCAGTAACTCAATTCATTTGAATCCAGGTTGTTATTCACAGTGATAATTAATGATCACTACTCACAGCCAGTAAAAGAACATCCTCAATCGAAGATTGTGTGTGGCAATACCCACCAGCAACATACTGTATCTCCATGTTGAATACTGCATGTCTGCACTGTGGGAAGGTCAAGGAATTCTCATCATACCATTGACATACACCTTGAAATCCCTTGTCATGATCCGGGTTAGAATCGCTCTTCAGCAACCCATGCTTGCTTGTAAGAGTCGACTAACAGGATCCTGTGGTCAGGCTTGCTGACTTGGTTGATGCATGTCTTCCTATCTGATCGCATGGATCTATACTCATGATGTCAATCACTGGATTGTCTGGTCCAGGCCCATGAATATACAGACTGCCATCATAAAGCAGGAATATTGCTGGGTGCATCATTAACAACCTACAAACTGGAATTGTTGTTCCAGTATTGCAATTGATGAAATGCCTCATTTTGTCTTCCTTGAAGAATAACACTGTAATCAAACACACTACAGTGGAACCTAGTTCAGATGTTGTTAACCCTGAAACCCCTCTTTCCAGACGATTACGTCTGGGAGAGCTGCCATGTGCACTAAGCATGATTCTCTGTAACAAATGTGTTAATCTGGAGGATTTCAGAGAGGATGATACATCCAGATCAACAGGGTTTCTACCCTGTGCTGTAAAGTTCTGCAAATGGCACATCCGGTGACAAAGTACCACCAATAATCAATCATAACGTATACAAGTCACATCAAATACTGAAAGATTACAATGACAACTATCTTGATATATGCAGCGTCAGCACTAGTACAAGGCTCCTTGGTCCTGGGTAGGTGGCACAAATAAAAAACTAGGATATATACTGCATACTGTCCAGGTATGTATGTACTGAAAGGAATATTGGCCTGTAACATTCACTTCTGTGTTCCCTTGAAATGCTCATTTCAACATAGTAATTCTTCAAGGAGTGAGTGAGTGAGTGAGATTTTACGCCGCTTTTAGCAATATTCCAGCAATATCACGGCGGGGGTCACCAGAAATGGGCTTCACACATTGTACCCATGTCGGGAATCAAACCCGGATCTTCGGCGTGACGAGCTAATGCTTTAACCACTAGGCTACCCGACCGCCCAATTCATTAAGGAAATGCTAGTACCTGGGCGTTCATCACCATGACAAATAATGTTTGATCCTCTAAGGCTTAATAAACATTTCCTGCCCAAAATATACTTCCCTTTTGTTTCCTCCTATCTTTCCATCAACTGGACCATCACATTTGTTCATTCCTGACATGAAAGACTATACAGTAATCTATTATGTATAAGATGCCTTTTTTGTAATTTGATAGTTTAAATGCAGCAAACAGAAAATAAACTAAAAAAGAGTCCTATATTAATTGATCTCCCTGATTGTTCTTGATAAAATCACAAACCCTACTAATCTGTTTGACAAATAATTACCTTAAACAGTTTAAGATCTAGCAGTTATTTCTTTCCAGTGAACCGACTGACCGACACCTGACTGATCACAGCTTATAGAAATAAAACAACAGTGGTCGTCAGTTCAGTCAGTGTTCACAGTTTTGCTTGGCGTAGTCATAAACCATAGTCATAGTCTGGGGCGCCTGCTTTGTAAGATGCAAAGAATCTGAGATGGGACTCTGTGTCAAACATGGTGGCTTTGACTGCTGGAAGTTCAAACATTCTCTTCTGCCAGGCTGCAATGTTGGGGAAGTTGCTTTCAGTGATGGCATACTTTGGTGCCACCTTCTCCAAGACTCCACTTCTTTCAAACCATGGCCACGCTGTGAAGTCCAACATAGAGGGGGTGGCACCTAGATTGGGGGAAAGAGTGAGTCATGCATAAGACACAAAGAATATGTTTTGTATGGTATGGTACCTCTACACGTAAACGGAAAAATTCACAAGGGGTCTCACCGCGAAAAAGGTGGTCTTATTCAGGTCATGGAAGACAGATGGTCTCAGTCAGGTCATGGTGGAGAGTTTGTCTCAGTCAGGTCATGGTGGAGAGTTTGTCTCAGTCAGGTCATGGTGGAGAGTTTGTCTCAGTCAGGTCATGGTGGAGAGTTTGTCTCAGTCAGGTCAAGGTGGAGAGTAGGTCTCAGTCAGGTCATGGTAGATGAGGTTGTCTCAGTCAGGTCATGGTAGATGAGGTTGTCTCAGTCAGGTCATGGTGGAGAGTTTGTCTCAGTCAGGTCATGGTGGAGAGTTTGTCTCAGTCAGGTCATGGTGGAGAGTTTGTCTCAGTCAGGTCATGGAAGACAGATGGTCTCAGTCAGGTCATGGTGGAGAGTTTGTCTCAGTCAGGTCATGGTGGAGAGTTTGTCTCAGTCAGGTCATGGTGGAGAGTTTGTCTCAGTCAGGTCATGGTGGAGAGTTTGTCTCAGTCAGGTCAAGGTGGAGAGTAGGTCTCAGTCAGGTCATGGTAGATGAGGTTGTCTCAGTCAGGTCATGGTAGATGAGGTTGTCTCAGTCAGGTCATGGTGGAGAGTTTGTCTCAGTCAGGTCATGGTGGAGAGTTTGTCTCAGTCAGGTCATGGTGGAGAGTTTGTCTCAGTCAGGTCATGGAAGACAGATGGTCTCAGTCAGGTCATGGTGGAGAGTTTGTCTCAGTCAGGTCATGGTGGAGAGTTTGTCTCAGTCAGGTCAAGGTGGAGAGTTGATCTCAGTCAGGTCACGGTAGATGAGGTGGTCTCAGTCAGGTCATGGTGGAGAGTTGGTCTCAGTCAGGTCATGGTGGAGAGTTTGTCTCAGTCAGGTCATGGTGGAGAGTTGATCTCAGTCAGGTCATGGTAGATGAGGTGGTCTCAGTCAGGTCATGGTGGAGAGTTGGCCCAGTCAGGTCATGGTGGAGAGTTGATCTCAGTCAGGTCATGGTAGATGAGGTGGTCTCAGGTCAAGGTGGAGAGTTTGTCTCAGTCAGGTCATGGTGGAGAGTTGATCTCAGTCAGGTCATGGTAGATGAGGTGGTCTCAGTCAGGTCATGGTGGAGAGTTGGTCTCAGTCAGGTCATGGTGGAGAGTTGGTCTCAGTCAGGTCATGGTGGAGAGTTTGTCTCAGTCAGGTCATGGAAGACAGATGGTCTCAGTCAGGTCATGGTGGAGAGTTTCTCTCAGTCAGGTCATGGTGGAGAGTTTGTCTCAGTCAGGTCAAGGTGGAGAGTTGATCTCAGTCAGGTCATGGTAGATGAGGTGGTCTCAGTCAGGTCATGGTGGAGAGTTGGTCTCAGTCAGGTCATGGTGGAGAGTTTGTCTCAGTCAGGTCATGGTGGAGAGTTGATCTCAGTCAGGTCATGGTAGATGAGGTGGTCTCAGTCAGGTCATGGTGGAGAGTTGGCCCAGTCAGGTCATGGTGGAGAGTTGATCTCAGTCAGGTCATGGTAGATGAGGTGGTCTCAGGTCAAGGTGGAGAGTTTGTCTCAGTCAGGTCATGGTGGAGAGTTGATCTCAGTCAGGTCATGGTAGATGAGGTGGTCTCAGTCAGGTCATGGTGGAGAGTTGGTCTCAGTCAGGTCATGGTGGAGAGTTTGTCTCAGTCAGGTCATGGTGGAGAGTTGGTCTCAGTCAGGTCATGGTGGAGAGATGGTCTCAGTCAGGTCATGGTAGATGAGGTGGTCTCAGTCAGGTCATGGTGGAGAGTTTGTCTCAGTCAGGTCATGGTGGAGAGTTGATCTCAGTCAGGTCATGGTAGATGAGGTGGACTCAGTCAGGTCATGGTGGATAGTTGGCCCAGTCAGGTCATGGTGGAGAGTTGATCTCAGTCAGGTCATGGTAGATGAGGTGGTCTCAGGTCAAGGTGGAGAGTTTGTCTCAGTCAGGTCATGGTGGAGAGTTGGTCTCAGTCAGGTCATGGTGGAGAGATGGTCTCAGTCAGGTCATGGTAGATGAGGTGGTCTCAGTCAGGTCATGGTGGAGAGTTGGTCTCAGTCAGGTCATGGTGGAGAGTTTGTCTCAGTCAGGTCATGGTGGAGAGTTGATCTCAGTCAGGTCATGGTAGATGAGGTGGTCTCAGTCAGGTCATGGTGGAGAGTTGGCCCAGTCAGGTCATGGTGGAGAGTTGATCTCAGTCAGGTCATGGTAGATGAGGTGGTCTCAGGTCAAGGTGGAGAGTTTGTCTCAGTCAGGTCATGGTGGAGAGTTGATCTCAGTCAGGTCATGGTAGATGAGGTGGTCTCAGTCAGGTCATGGTGGAGAGTTGGTCTCAGTCAGGTCATGGTGGAGAGTTTGTCTCAGTCAGGTCATGGTGGAGAGTTGGTCTCAGTCAGGTCATGGTGGAGAGATGGTCTCAGTCAGGTCATGGTAGATGAGGTGGTCTCAGTCAGGTCATGGTGGAGAGTTTGTCTCAGTCAGGTCATGGTGGAGAGTTGATCTCAGTCAGGTCATGGTAGATGAGGTGGTCTCAGTCAGGTCATGGTGGATAGTTGGCCCAGTCAGGTCATGGTGGAGAGTTGATCTCAGTCAGGTCATGGTAGATGAGGTGGTCTCAGGTCAAGGTGGAGAGTTTGTCTCAGTCAGGTCATGGTGGAGAGTTGATCTCAGTCAGGTCATGGTAGATGAGGTGGTCTCAGTCAGGTCATGGTGGAGAGTTTGTCTCAGTCAGGTCATGGTGGAGAGTTGGTCTCAGTCAGGTCATGGTGGAGAGTTTGTCTCAGTCAGGTCATGGTGGAGAGTTGGTCTCAGTCAGGTCATGGAGGAGAGTTGGTCTCAGTCAGGTCATGGTGGAGAGTTGGTCTCAGGTCATGCAGAAGAGTTGGTCTCAGTCAGGTCATGGTGGAGAGTTGGTCTCAGTCAGGTCATGGTGGAGAGTTTGTCTCAGTCAGGTCATGGTGGAGAGTTGGTCTCAGTCAGGTCATGGTGGAGAGTTGGTCTCAGTCAGGTCATGGTGGAGAGTAGGTCTCAGTCAGGTCATGGTGGAGAGATGGTCTCAGTCAGGTCATGGTGGAGAGTTGGTCTCAGTCAGGTCATGGTGGAGAGTTGGTCTCAGTCAGGTCATGGTGGAGAGTTGGTCTCAGTCAGGTCATGGTGGAGAGTAGGTCTCAGTCAGGTCATGGTGGAGAGTTTGTCTCAGTCAGGTCATGGTGGAGAGTTGGTCTCAGTCAAGTCATGGTGGAGAGTTGGTCTCAGTCAGGTCATGGTAGATGAGGTGGTCTCAGTCAGGTCATGGTGGAGAATTGGTCTCAGTCAGGTCATGGTGGAGTGTTGGTCTCAGGTCAAGGTGGAGAGTTGGTCTCAGTCAGGTCATGGTGGAGAGTTGGTCTCAGTCAGGTCATGGTAAATGAGGTGGTCTCAGTCAGGTCATGGTGGAGAGTTGGTCTCAGTCAGGTCATGGTGGAGTGTTGGTCTCAGGTCATGGTGGAGAGTTGGTCTCAGTCAGGTCATGGTGGAGAGTTGGTCTCAGTCAGGTCATGGTAGATGAGGTGGTCTCAGTCAGGTCATGGTGGAGAGTTTGTCTAAGTCAGGTCATGGTTGAGTGTTGGTCTCAGGTCAAGGTGGAGAGTTGGTCTCAGTCAGGTCATGGTGGAGAGTTTGTCTCAGTCAGGTCATGGTGGAGAGTTTGTCTCAGTCAGGTCATGGTGGAGAGTTGGTCTCAGTCAGGTCATGGTGGAGAGATGGTCTCAGTCAGGTCATGGTAGATGAGGTGGTCTCAGTCAGGTCATGGTGGAGAGTTGGTCTCAGTCAGGTCATGGTGGAGAGTTTGTCTCAGTCAGGTCATGGTGGAGAGTTGATCTCAGTCAGGTCATGGTAGATGAGGTGGTCTCAGTCAGGTCATGGTGGAGAGTTGGCCCAGTCAGGTCATGGTGGAGAGTTGATCTCAGTCAGGTCATGGTAGATGAGGTGGTCTCAGGTCAAGGTGGAGAGTTTGTCTCAGTCAGGTCATGGTGGAGAGTTGATCTCAGTCAGGTCATGGTAGATGAGGTGGTCTCAGTCAGGTCATGGTGGAGAGTTGGTCTCAGTCAGGTCATGGTGGAGAGTTTGTCTCAGTCAGGTCATGGTGGAGAGTTGGTCTCAGTCAGGTCATGGTGGAGAGATGGTCTCAGTCAGGTCATGGTAGATGAGGTGGTCTCAGTCAGGTCATGGTGGAGAGTTTGTCTCAGTCAGGTCATGGTGGAGAGTTGATCTCAGTCAGGTCATGGTAGATGAGGTGGTCTCAGTCAGGTCATGGTGGATAGTTGGCCCAGTCAGGTCATGGTGGAGAGTTGATCTCAGTCAGGTCATGGTAGATGAGGTGGTCTCAGGTCAAGGTGGAGAGTTTGTCTCAGTCAGGTCATGGTGGAGAGTTGATCTCAGTCAGGTCATGGTAGATGAGGTGGTCTCAGTCAGGTCATGGTGGAGAGTTTGTCTCAGTCAGGTCATGGTGGAGAGTTGGTCTCAGTCAGGTCATGGTGGAGAGTTTGTCTCAGTCAGGTCATGGTGGAGAGTTGGTCTCAGTCAGGTCATGGAGGAGAGTTGGTCTCAGTCAGGTCATGGTGGAGAGTTGGTCTCAGGTCATGGAGAAGAGTTGGTCTCAGTCAGGTCATGGTGGAGAGTTGGTCTCAGTCAGGTCATGGTGGAGAGTTTGTCTCAGTCAGGTCATGGTGGAGAGTTGGTCTCAGTCAGGTCATGGTGGAGAGTTGGTCTCAGTCAGGTCATGGTGGAGAGTAGGTCTCAGTCAGGTCATGGTGGAGAGATGGTCTCAGTCAGGTCATGGTGGAGAGTTGGTCTCAGTCAGGTCATGGTGGAGAGTTGGTCTCAGTCAGGTCATGGTGGAGAGTTGGTCTCAGTCAGGTCATGGTGGAGAGTAGGTCTCAGTCAGGTCTTGGTGGAGAGTTTGTCTCAGTCAGGTCATGGTGGAGAGTTGGTCTCAGTCAGGTCATGGTGGAGAGTTGGTCTCAGTCAAGTCATGGTGGAGAGTTGGTCTCAGTCAGGTCATGGTAGATGAGGTGGTCTCAGTCAGGTCATGGTGGAGAATTGGTCTCAGTCAGGTCATGGTGGAGTGTTGGTCTCAGGTCAAGGTGGAGAGTTGGTCTCAGTCAGGTCATGGTGGAGAGTTGGTCTCAGTCAGGTCATGGTAAATGAGGTGGTCTCAGTCAGGTCATGGTGGAGAGTTGGTCTCAGTCAGGTCATGGTGGAGTGTTGGTCTCAGGTCATGGTGGAGAGTTGGTCTCAGTCAGGTCATGGTGGAGAGTTGGTCTCAGTCAGGTCATGGTAGATGAGGTGGTCTCAGTCAGGTCATGGTGGAGAGTTTGTCTAAGTCAGGTCATGGTTGAGTGTTGGTCTCAGGTCAAGGTGGAGAGTTGGTCTCAGTCTGGTCATGGTGGAGAGTTTGTCTCAGTCAGGTCATGGTGGAGAGATGGTCTCAGTCAGGTCATGGTGGAGAGATGGTCTCAGTCAGGTCATGGTGGAGAGTTTGTCTCAGTCAGGTCATGGTGGAGAGTTGGTCTGTCAGGTCATGGTGGAGAGATGGTCTCAGTCAGGTCATGGTGGAGAGTTGGTCTCAGTCAGGTCATGGTCGAGAGTTGGTCTCAGTCAGGTCATGGTGGAGAGTTGGTCTCAGTCAGGTCATGATGGAGAGATGGTCTCACTCAGGTCATGGTTGAGAGTTGGTCTCAGGTAGGTCATGGTGGAGAGTTTGTCTCAGTCAGGTCATGGTGGAGAGTTGGTCTCAGGTAGGTCATGGTGGAGAGTTGGTCTCAGGTCAAGGTGGAGAGTTGGTCTCAGTCAGGTCATGGTGGAGAGTTGATAGCAGATCTCATCCGCATATCTGATGCTCACCTCCAAAGAACTCCCCTCGATCACCAAGGGCAGTTTCATATGTCTTTAAAACACTGAAGAACTTCTCCCCTGCTTCATCACTGCCTCCTGAAGAAAGCAACTTGTACCAGGCAGTTGTCACCTGTAACAAACAAGCACATGTACAAGGCAGTTGTCACCTGTAACAAACAAGCACATGTTCCAGGCAGTTGTCACCTGTAACGACAAGCACATGTGCCAGGCTTGTAACCTGTAACAAACAAGCACATGTACCAGGCAGTTGTCACCTGTAAAAAACAAGCACATGTACCATGCAGATGTCTCCTGTAACACAGACAAACACTTGAACCAGGCAGTTGTCACCTGTAACAAACAAGCACATCTACCAGGCAGCTGTCATCTGTAACAAACAAGCACATGTACCAGGCAGCTGTCACCTGTAACAAACAAGCACATGTACCAGGCAGCTGTCATCTGTAACAAACAAGCACATGCACCAGGAAATTGTCACCTGTAACAAACAAGCGCATGTACCAGGCAGCTGTCATCTGTAACAAACAAGCACATGTACCAGGCAGCTGTCACCTGTAACAGACAAGCACATGCACCAGGAAGTTGTCACCTGTAACAGACAAGCACATGCACCAGGCAGTTGTCACCTGTAACAAACAAGCACATGTACCAGGCAGTTGTCATCTGTAACAAACAAGCACATGTACCAGGGAGCTGTCACCTGTAAAAAAACAAGCACATGCACCAGGAAATTGTCACCTGTAACATACAAGCGCATGTACCAGGCAGCTGTCATCTGTAACAAACAAGCACATGTACCAGGCAGCTGTCACCTGTAACAGACAAGCACATGCACCAGGAAGTTGTCACCTGTAACAGACAAGCACATGCACCAGGTAGTTGTCACCTGTAACAAACAAGCACATGTACCTGGCAGCTGTCATCTGTAACAAACAAGCACATGCACCAGGCAGCTGTCACCTGTAACAAACAAGCACATGCACCAGGTAGTTGTCACCTGTAACAAACAAGCACATGCACCAGGAAGTTGTCACCTGTAACAAACAAGCACATGTACCAGGCAGTTGTCACCTGTAACAAACAAGCACATGCACCAGGAAGTTGTCACCTGTAACAAACAAGCACATGTACCAGGCAGCTGTCATCTGTAACAAACAAGCACATGTACCAGGCAGCTGTCACCTGTACCAGACAAGCACATGCACCAGGAAGTTGTCACCTGTAACAAACAAGCACATGCACCAGGCAGTTGTCACCTGTAACAAACAAGCACATCTACCAGGCAGCTGTCATCTGTAACAAACAAGCACATGTACCAGGCAGCTGTCACCTGTAACAAACAAGCACGTGTACCAGGCAGCTGTCATCTGTAACAACCAAGCACATGTACCAGGCAGCTGTCACCTGTAAAAAACAAGCACATGCACCAGGAAGTTGTCACCTGTAACAAACAAGCACATGTACCAGGCAGCTCTCACCTGTAACAAACAAGCACATGCACCAGGAAGTTGTCATCTGTAACAAACAAGCACATGTACCAGGCAGCTGTCACCTGTAACAAACAAGCACATGTACCAGGCAGTTGTCACCTGTAACAGACAAGCACATGCACCAGGAAGTTGTCACCTGTAACAAACAAGCACATGGACCAGGCAGTTGTCACCTGTAACAAACAAGCACATGCACCAGGTAGTTGTCACCTCTAAAAAACAAGCACATGCACCAGGCAGTTGTCACCTGTATCAAACAAGCACATGCACCAGGTAGTTGTCACCTGTAACAAACAAGCACATGCACCAGGTAGTTGTCACCTGTAACAAACAAGCACATGTACCAGGCAGTTGTCACCTGTAACAAACAAGCACATGCACCAGGTAGTTGTCACCTGTAAAAAACAAGAACATGCACCAGGTAGTTGTCACCTGTAACAAACAAGCACAAGCACCAGGTAGTTGTCACCTGTAACAAACAAGCACATGCACCAGGCAGTTGTCACCTGTAACAAACAAGCACATGCACCAGGTAGTTGTCACCTGTAACAAACAAGCACATGCACTAGGTAGTTGTCACCTGTAACAAACAAGCACATGCACCAGGCAGTTGTCACCTGTAACAAACAAGCACATGTACCCAGCTTGTGAGCTGTTACACAGACAAGCAGAACCCCATCCACCCAAGCAACAAAACTCAACACATCAAAGATCCGAAAAGTGGAAAAACATCAACATTATCATGATTATAGCACTTTTGCAATTTACTGTGGGCTCTGCAGTTTCAGAGAAAAAAAGAGATGTGTTGATAATCATCTACAACAAACTAACTGTTGATCATAATGCCTCTAAAAACAACAGTTCTTTTGGTCACCAAACTTTGGAGAACATTGTTATGGGACCAAACATTCATGGTCGTACCATGTTTGATAAATCAGTCACTGAAATGTAATTTATTGTTGCAAAATTATCTGCATAAACTTGCAGATTTGCCTATAGTAAATTTTTAATCATATCATCTCAAGTTTCAGCGCAATAATACTGTTAAATTTCTGATTTTCTTTCTCAATTAAAGAAAGCTTAAAATTGCAAAATATTCAACTAAAATATGAACCTTTTAAGCCATTTGGTTTCTGAGATAATGCTTAAACATTTTATGTTTGAACTAATATAGGGATTCAGAGTATTTCCCTTATTTATGTACTTATTCCTTTTTGCTTCGAATATATAACAGTGTAGAACATCACCTTTTCCCACAATCGCCCGTAGACAGATGACAAGTGCATCCAAACGTTGAGGGGATGGACTGGCAGGCAGTTATGTCCTGATGTGTCAGAATAAGTATAAAAATAAGGGGAATACTCTGATTTCCTTTATTTTTTACTTATACCTCCACAACAGTATGCAATTATCTGACAGTATGATGGCGGGTTGGATCAACTGCATAGCCCCATTTGCAATTTAGTGGTCGGGTGTTTAGTGTTCAATTTCACTAGTCCCGTAATTCATCACCACCATGCCTGGCAACAGGTAAGGCTGGGTCTGAACTTAGGTTGCAACTGGAGGTACTCAAAAGACCAGGAAAAGTAGTTACCCTCACAATATGTAGTACCCTCAGTACGGATTTTTATGCAATCATTCTATAGACAGAAAGAACAAACATGCAGGCGTACCGGTATGGGTGTCCAGAAAGGCAAGCGTTCCGTTCAAATTTGTCAATGGCGATGGGGAGGGGCGACGAGTTATCTTGGGATCGAAGGAACATTTTGCAGAAGGCAGTGGGACAGGCTCCTCGAGTTAAGGACTTCCATGATCCAAAGGATCTGATACTTGAATGCCAGGCTTGAATGCCAAGCAGGAGAGCCCGAGGAACAAGCAGCCTGAGACGCCTGATCAGGCATGATGGGTGACGACTGAAGTAGAAGGTGTCCAGAAAGGCAAGCGTTCTGTTCCAATTTGTCAACGGCGATGGGGAGGGGTGAAGAGTAATCTTGGGATTGAAGGAACATTTTGCAGAAGGCAGTGGGACAGGCTCCTCGAGTTAAGGACTTCCACGATCCGCAGGGTCTGATACTTTGAGGCGTAGAGTGGCTGCTCTTCAGCCTTAGAGGTAACGACACTAGGTGCCGAAACGCAAGATGAGGCTCTCGTCGAAGATCAGACACGCCTGGGAACCCTGTCAGGAGATGATGAACAGAATCCTGAATGCCGACTAGGACAGCCCGGGGAACAAGCATCCCAAGACGCCTGATCAGGCGTGATGGGTGTCGACTGAAGTAGAAGGCTACCATGAGGAGACGAAAGTGGTAACTGTCGTACCCAACTGTTATCCATGTCAATATGAGCATCCTAAGGAGAGGTCACTAGCAGCGATCCGACCTGAGACAAGGACAACAAAGGCAGAGTCTGCAATGGCTGAGCCTGAGAAGATGTGCTGTTGAGGTGGCAACGACTGAGACATTGGTGGCACTTGTGCTTGCTGCGACTAAAATGGGTAAGGCCGGGTGGAGGCCTGTGGATAAACAATGTGATAACTGATAACCCAACATCCAAGGCTACTTAACCCTGTAGGTGCGCCTGAATAAGCTGAGCCTGCTGGTACGGTGTTTGTTGAGGTGCGTGGAGAAATACCTGAGGACAGGTGCGTGGAGAAATACTTAAGTGAGGGGACATATGAAGAGGCGTCTGCGCCTGAAAAGGAGGTGGCACCTGAGCAGGCGCTTGGAGATACGTTGACACGAGTGTCCGCGCATGGGGAGGCACCTATAGGCTCCAGGTCGACAGACAAGATGGGATGCGAGTGGGGGCTTGCCAATAAGCGTCAGTAGCAGATGACAGAAGGCAGGGAGACATCACAGCCAAAGAGCATCATTGGTCCAAGGAGCAGGGGACCTGGCAGTCAGGGCAGGGCCCGTGGGGATCATGAGCCGATTTCTTCCCATGGCAGTCCATGCACTTTCGAGTGGGGTGTCATCAACCACCAACACAATCTCCAAAACGACATCCTCCATAATATCTGTCCTACATATGGAATAAGAATGGACAATATCACAAACATTAAATGAAACACAACCTTTCTCGTTAAAACAAGGGAGGTAGAAACACGAGAAAATAGCTTTCACTTGCCGAAAAGTTAATAACAATGGCGGGGAAAGAACACGTAAGGAAGGTAAATGGCCGTTATTTTATTTATTTATTGATAGGGATCAGCGAGGGACCTGTAGATAAATGTACAAAGGAAGATATTCAATGCAAACCAAAATGACAAACAAATCCAATCCTAAATGTGGAATGGAAGCAAACAAGTCCGTTCACCACGGGTGATAAGGGAAAAGAGTGATGAGTAGTACAGGAGCATGCTGGGAGCGAGGAGGTCGGAGGGTGTGTTCCGGTGATTGTTGTTTTCACAATGTTCTACACTGTAATATAATTGAAGCTGGAAGGAATATTGCCAATCTCATTAAAATCAGACCTTCGTTATCGCTACCGCTATACAAAGATCTGAAGACATCCCATTAGGTGATTTCTATTCATGCTGTCTCGAAAACTTTAACATGAGGTATTCCGAACGTTAGTTACGGGTTTAACGACTGAATCCTTACAATCTAGACCATCTATTAGTCATTCCAAAATGTTCTTTGTTCAGGTTGCAAATTTGTAATCAAGAATTTGTCAAAATATGTTTCAAAGTGTAGTCGCCAATTTGAAATTTGTGCTGTAAAGCATGAGAAAGCTGCCTTCTGATTGCTCATTCCATTGGTCCGTCAAAGTTCGAGCAAGGTCGGTCTGACGTGACCCGTAATGGGATGTCCTCAGATCTTTGTTTAGCTGTGGCGAGAACTAAGATCTGATTTTAATGAGATTTGAATATTGCATACTGTTGTGGAGGAATAATTTTAAAAATATTACATCTCTATGAATCTGAAGAGACATACCAATAAACATACCTAAACATAATCAATAGTCACATGCATATACAGTACTTTTAGACAGTCACCTTCAGGCACTTCAAGAAACAATATGCAATTTTCAAATTCTGCTTATGAAACAAAAACCTCAATGTTGTAATGGCCACCATTTTACCATCACAGTCTGTGTCAAGAATCCAAGCCTACTAGTCTAAGCTTTGTGCATTACTTTCAGCAGATTTAGGTTACAGCATATGGGCCAGGACGAGCAGATGTTGCTGGACCAGACGGAGGCATGTACCTGTGAGAAGGTTTCCAACAGAATCCTATCTCTAGCCTTCTTGTAGGCATCCTGAGGGTAGAGCGGAGAGTCTGGGTAGACCTGGTCCAGGTAGTCGTCACACACCAGCGACTCGTACACCACCTGGTCGTCCTTCTCCAGCACTGGCACCAGACCCAGCGGGTTCCGCTCCAGGAACCAGTCCGGCTTCTTCTTCAAGTCCACGTTGATTGTCTCATACCTGAAAACACAGTTACATACCTTGTTGTCTGCAGCCTCCAAAAAGGTACCTGCCTTAGTAGATGTCATGTTTAATGTCAGTGCCTTAGAGTAAAATGTTTCTTCTAAATACAAATCTGTTCTCCCCAAAAGATGTTTAATAGTTCATCATTTAGGGTATGGTGCTTAATGTTGTCAGTGCAATTGTCAGAGGGTGGTGTTTAATGTTGTCAGTGCCTTAGTGGGTGTGTTAAATGTTCTAAGGGCCTTAGTGGATTGACTGGTACAGTTTTCAAGTTGAGTATCCACTCACGGTATCTTCTTATGCTCCAGCACAAGACGGGTCCTCTGGGCGAATGGACAGAATCTCATGCTGTAGATCCTCAGTGTCCCTGGGGACAAGCTTGGGTAGGGAGACCCTGGGGACAAGGAAATGACACTTTGTTCAATAGCCATGTAACAGTCAACTTGTCTTGATTCAACAGTGTAATGACACATTGAATGCTTTGACAACTACTCTTATGCAACTAATAAATTTTCCATAAACTGATGTAAAATTAAAACATGAAACAAGCATTTCCCTATCGTTGTTGGTTTCATAGACGCTATTCATGTCCGTAAAACTGCACTGGTGATTAATAACAATACATTTACATATTTGCAAACACCCATAAGTAAAAGTACAGCAGTAATTAACTCATAGCATGTGCTTAAATACCATTTATAAGCATGTATACTCATCATAGAACATGCTTGCAAAAAGGTTTATTGGGAAAATACCATCTGGTCCCAATCATAGCAGTGAATTCAACACTAAAGTGTATAAATCACTTTGACAGCTTGTGTCTGAGTAGGTAAATATTCACGAGACTTTATTACCCTACCATGACTCAGCAAACGTAATGACCTAACAAAGCCGGAGTTAACTTTTTTTGACAGGGGGCAAATAAGATTATTCAATTTTTAATCAAGTTAACTTTCTCAAGGAAAAATATTTAATGTAAAAAATCCAACCCCCCCCCCCCGCCCTGAATTGAGATTATCAAATTACTTTAGACGCTACGCACACGGTCATTAGCGTAGGCCTTTTCATAATGAATAATCACATGACAACATGGAGTTAACATGTCACCGCAACGATCACATGACGTGTACTTGTACCACGGGAAAGTGTACATAAAATATAGCGAAAATATCTTCACGAGGAACCAGGACATTGTGTAAATCCTAGGATAAGATCTCGAATCGGGGACTCCGAGGGTACATGACAGTCAAGGCCCTGGCAATGTGAAGCAAAGTTAGGCCTTCATTTCATACTTATATGAGTGGTGGGATTAGTGCAAAACGATGTAATGTGTGCACAAACTGATCACTAGAGGCGTGGAACCGGAGTTTTCTCGCGAGATTACAACCAATATCATAAACTAAAGTTTTTCTTATGAGTCGCACGACGTGACAATGTGAACAGCGGAAAGGGGGACAGGCACCGTCCGGAAATAACTTACCTTTAGCGTGTGACTTGAGGGACATTGTGGAGCTAGAATACTTTGCAAGACGGGCACCTGCAACCTGGATGTTGTCACAATTTCTGAACTGTGCACTGGGTGGTAACACTTTGTGCAACTTCGATGCTCTTGTGACCAGCCGAGCGCAAATCATAGGTGTCAAGGTTCATACATTCGTGACTGCTCGTTTGCAAATATGGTTCCACGTTCTGTTTGCGCTGCGAATGTTATTCAAATAGAGCCAGAGCCCAGTTTATCTCGATTACCATTCGTATGTATCCGTAAAGGGAGAAGTTTCGCCCGGAAACATGCGAGGATTCTCGCCACTCTCGCATTTTTCCGTTATCTACACGCATTCAGCACGAGTTGATCACGAATGCAAGTGTAGTAGTATGAAATTATGTACATATCATCAAGTGTATTTTAAGGTCACCTCTTATTTTAATACCTAAGTTTTAGTCTACACTCCAATCTAACCTGCTTCACTAATACAATAGCACAGTCACCCTTGCGCTTGCCTTCTCTATTGTTTCTCTGGTTTCTATTGTTTAGCCCCAGCCCCTTACTTTCAGTGACAGGGTGCATTATGGGACTAGTCAGTTTAAATTCACACTTGTAGTTGATTATGTATGGAGTACTCGGTTCATCGCTGATATAATTGAGTCAATTGTCACAGGTTAGTTTGTTTGAATTGTATATTTATGTGTTCTTATTTAGTGCTTTGAAGAGTTTGTTAAGGTGCATATGTATGGTTTCTTAACTTCTTTTAATAATGCTTATATTGTTAGGTGTGATAAATATATATCATATCAGTCATCGTATTCAGGTAAATGTAGTTAGGCTACATTTGCTTAAATACTTTATGTAAGTATGTTTATAATAGATAATCTTAACTAGCATTTTCATGTTGATATTACTTAACTTATTGTGTAACTAAGCATAATGAGTTCATTTATTGATAGACTGGAGCTATTTACCTGTAAATTAAAGTTCTGCACATGTATGAATGTCTGTCTGTATGATGAGGTGAGTAATTAGAATATATTTTAGGGTTATTGTATATACCTGAGGATGTAAACATTGATGTAATATCATAATATGTTACACTGTTATTATGTTATATATATTTATATTCAGGTGTGTCCCGGTAAAGTAAATGTCTGATGTTATGACATCATAGGGCACAGTGCCATACACCTGGTGAGGACATTTATATGGTGTATGTATTTATAGTGATATGTACTGAAATTGTGTGTTATGTATTAATGCATTTATCATCATTATTGATAAACTATGTTTGTCAATTTATTATCTGATAAACCTTTGTAATATTAAAATACAGTAAGATAAAACTAATCATGCTAATTACGGTGGATCATAACAATGTATATGATCATATATAAGATTCTAATATTTGTTAATAAGTTATAATGTAATGATATATTTGTATGTGTACGTATTGTGCATATTTTAACTCTGTGTATTTATTTTCACAGGGCCGTTTTATTTATGTATTAAAACAACTGGCATCTACAAATGAACCTGCGTTTGGTGATTCATTCACATAAACCACTCCGGTTACACAAGGGCAGAAGGAGAATCACTCTCAAAACTACGCTATATCCTCCTCTTCCGCGGTTGACGTAATGACAACACTTCAAGTCATAGGCATTTGATTCTTGTAAAGTAAAATTTATAAACATATCGCCGGATGTGTTACCTATGAATGCATTATTCTTATCTCTTGTGTTAATGACAAATATCACTTGATCCAAACATCGACCCTAAATTAAGTGTCCATGATCCCAATCACTACCCGACCCTATAATTCTTGACTAGATCTATACACTAAATCCAAAATAAAGTAAACGTATTTTGAAGGTCGGTCCGCACTCGAATCCGGTTTGTGAGCAACATGAAGGTGTAAATTTGTCTGTAAAGTCTGATTTATGATCAACATAAAACCATTAAAACAAAACAAATCATCAGCCCAACCAGCACATTGTAACAGATAATTTTTGCATGGCTTTAACATGTTAATATTTGAAAGAAGACGAAAACAAAGAGGTCTGCTTACGTTCTAAACAAACTGCTCATATGAGCACTCTAATAGGACCAAGACACGCCCACCACATGTGCCGGCTATATGGGAGACATTCAGACCATTGTGCATCTTTTTTTGCGTGTCAATCTCTAAAAGATGTAAACCGGCTACACCTGATGAGCGAGTTGATGTTAGCCTTTGAACAGTATTTCAGTTTAAAACGACATGTCATCTTGATGTAGAAGGAAATTTTAAACTAATGGTCATAATCTGGTCGATGCCACGATTTCAACCTATAAGCAGATCCTGGAACTACTATTATGGGATGCATCGATGACGTCGCCCAAGACCACTGGGCCACCCGTGCTCCCATTCGTCACCACTCGGCCCTTTCCGTAACCTGAAAGAAGTCGCTATTCGGCTTGTCCCGGAATAACACGAGTTGGTCACGAATGCCGTGCTCCGTGAAAAGTATAGTCTATGAGCGCGAATATGGTCGACACACCGAGGAGAATAAACGTGTTAAATCGGTGGTATGTTCACGTTGGTCTAGTGTGTGCGATTAAGTATGATCACGTCATAAAAGTTCGAAGTAAATTAATTGATAATACCTCCCAGTGCAAACGGAATAATGTTCTTTTGCATGCAGATTGCGACAGATTCATCAGGCGAGGTTTTAAAGTAGCATACATCTCCCAACAGACAACCTATACTTGTCACAGACACTTGGCACTACAGACAGAAGATATACCAGGACGTTTTCATGTGACTGTAACGAAATGACGTAAGACAATACCATGACGTTTCCATGTAATTCTAACGACATAACTATGCTGATGGCCTGGCGTTAATTTCTACACTCACATCATATGTATACTCGGACCCCATGGTACCGCGGCATTCATGGTATCGCGGCATTTGTGATTTCCGGTAGTTCACGCGGGACACGCCTCTTAGCGGCTGTCTGTTAATGCAAATCAGTAACCAGGAAGTGCTCACTTCGTAAACAATTTCAATTTCCTCGGAATGTTCCGTCTGCTGTAAGTAAGGAGTTATTAATCCGTTGATACATATTTCTGGCATCTGTTGTAATATTGCCTTACCCCCATCTATCAATGGCCAACGATATAACCCGCAGTTCCCCAAGTAAACTTTCTCTATCGACCTGAACTAGATCATCTGCATATTCATGGCGACTAATGAGGTAACGGAAGTTACGTAGTCAGCACATTTTTTCCCGCTCTGTGCCCAGAATCTATTGGGAGATCATAAGGGCCATAATGCCAAACTTAGAAATACGTTCTTCACTAGTAACCAAAAGATAAATACATACTTTGGGCATACTAGGAGTGCTTTTTTATATATTTATTGTTGACTTTTAACATTTTTTCATTTTGTGACAAATTATTGTCATCCAATTTTGTTTAAACAATCTTAAAATATCATTTCTGATATTTTGATGTTTACTAATAAAAATATTTTTCTCTTACTTTTCGGTAAATATGCATTGAATACCTATTGATGATAACACATTTCGAATTTTACTTGTGCTGTCTTTGCACTTGTCTGGACAAATCACTGATTCCTGGCATGATCATACCAAGTGGTTGGTAGAATTATGTCCTCTTTTTGTCCAATTCGGACCTCCACACACAACTTTTCTCTGTACCGCGATACGATGGAGTTCTCTCCCTTGTCAAACAGAGCGCGAGGCCCGGCTTTTACTCGGAGCTACTAATGTAAATAATGAACTTTTATAAGTAAAATATGCATTGTTTGATAACATGAATGATATCTGATACAGAGAACACGAATAAACATAAAGGTTAGTGAGTGCATTTTGTTCCGTTTAGCGTACATGACAAGTACCGCGATACCCCGAGGTTGCAGGCTACACCATAAACAAGCAAACACATTGATTGAACAAGCTAGCAGCTTAGATAGGTCTTATCCTTCCGTGTGTGTGACGGGAATGGGCTTCTTTTCTTCCAATGGTCAAAGGGAGATCACCCTTGCCAGACTATGTCTCAGGGTGTATCGGTTGAGATGCTTGTTTGGGATTTCTCAGGCGATTTGGGCAGCCTGTCCTTTCGCAGCAATAAGTGCGGAAGTCCCGCCAACCCTCAACACACATCACGCCTTACACACCAGCAAACAGTTCCCCAGTTAGACGAACGGTCTTTACCTGCAAATTAATTAAGCCAGAAACTTCTCATAGTCAAAACAAACTGGGGACCACAAACTCACAAACCTCAACATAATCTGGTTGCCCTTTTAAAGAGTTTGGGCTCCGTTCCTCAAAGCGATCTTAGCGCTACGATGATCGTAAACCTATGTTAGAGTATGGGACTTACGATCACCTTAGTGCTAAGATCGCTTTGTGGAACGGGGCCTTGGTCCCCATGACATGCAGCTGTGGAGGTTTAGCCTTGCCGGAAATGGACGATGACGCCTCGTTCTGACTTCGTCTCCGTAACGTAGTTACCGTTGTCGCGGCCAACGTCCCCTCTGTTTTGAACAGATTCACAATCGCTCTTGCTCCCTATCGCTCTGCATTTCGTTGACTACAGCATTGTTTCAAGATCTTCTACTGACAAGATGTTTACTAGGCTGCATATTCAAGGTATTTAAGAATGCAGTTATTGTATTTTAAAGTGTTTAGTACATAGATTAGCACTGAAATTGGCCGTAGTTTGACATCAGTATCGGTGATGATGACATTGGCCGCCATTTGTAATGTGTTTTGATTCAGAAATTTATGTCTTTTAAATCTCTTGTCTGCTCTGAAATGAGAGTGGTCCGTATATAAATATGACGGACGATGTTGTTTAAACATTATAGATCAAATGTGTGACATTGTATAACTTTGATATCTATTTATACCTAAACTACTCTTTCAAACGACCGGGCCTGAAATGGCCAGACTAAAACACACGAACACAGCCATTAAATGTCCGCTTCACTCCTACTCACGCCTGTTCATAGTCTCTAGTCCTCCTTACTCCAAATCTCCCATGTCTGCCTGTCCGTCCGTGCGCCCATTCAGGTGCTGAGGAGGAAATAAGGGAAATAAGAGCTCACAAGTTTCTGTAGAGATGTGCTGCGTGTAAAATATCTAGATCTATTGATGTTGACTGGAGGCTGGGCGATG